TCCGAACTAACATGCTTTTTAGAGATAAACTCCACGTTAGCATGTTTTTCGTGCCACTCTTGATTCTTCCGAGTAGGAAATTTGGCACTATCATAAACATAGGTCTCAGAGCATCTACATATACTCCCTCGTTGGTGCCTCCGCACAGGTTGGAATGAAGTAGATCTCTCTTTTTCACATTCTTCAAATTTCTCATTCATCTCCATCTCTTCACTGCCTTCACTATCCTCGGTGGTAGAGGAAAAAGGTTCGCGAATAACAGGTCATTTTCCTCTTGTCATGATATCTAAGAAAGAAAGTACAATTAACTTTATATACTTGGTTGTAAATTTGTGCACATCACATATTATATAAGAAAGAATTCTTATAAAATATCTAAAGAAAAATCTTTCCAATTATAGTAATTGTAGGCATTTTAAAGAATTTTCTTTCAAGGACAAGGATCAAAATTGACTCAATTAACCACACATACACATCTTGATGTTATAAATAATCATTGAAAAACTTCAAAATGTACAATATTATGACATATAAGACATGACATTAAAATTGCTAAAAAATTGTCAAAATTACCAAAATTACCAATTTATTGAAATAGACAACAAATATGTTTCAATTAATGAATTTGACAATAATAAAATTTATAGAAAATATTAATTAACAACAATAATCCACATTTAACTATAAATATCATTGAGCAAAAATTATTTCCAAAAATTACAAAATTCATCAAAATTACTCTCTATATACAATGTACATGCTAAACCATCATCAACCAATCAATTTTAGTCATAATCAACAACAAAAAGGGCTCAAATAACAATTTAAACTACTTTTTCAATTTATCCAAATATAGCAAATTAAAAATTTAAACAACTAATAATTCATCAAATTACTATATTAGAACATGTAAATATCAAAAAATTAGAAGATGTCAAAAAATTAGAACATGTAAATATTAGAACATGTAAATTAGAAGATGTCAAAAAATTTAGAAAAATGAGAAATACCAACTTCTAAATTATAAAAATTTGATGAAAAAACTTACCTCAATCACGAAGAATAATGTTTGGAGAAGAAGATTATGCAAAAAGCCCTATGAAAAACACCAATTGAAGAATTTAAAAACTAAGAACCCTAGTCTCTAATTTCTTAAAAATCAATTTTTTGGTTATTTTTCTTGAATTCCAATCGATTAAAAAGGCTCTAGGAAGATTAACAGGTGTTGGGTTGATGTTTATTTGCAAGGAAATGGAGTAAAAGAGAGAATTTATGAATTGTGTGTGTGGGTGTGTGAAAACGTGAGAAGAAAAAGAAAATGAAGAAAGGAAAATGCAGCCAAGTTTTCTCCTTTTAAAACAAAAGCTGAAAACGTGACTTGAAAATGTAGCCTTGATCTCACGTTTTTGAGCTCATGTTTTCTGCTTTAAAGTTGCATAATTGAATAAATGATTTCAAGAAAACACAACCTGAAATCGCATTGTGATGCCCGTATTTTCTGTTGAAATGACGTAGAAATAAATATGCGGCTGAAGAAAACGCGACTTTAGGTCGCATATTGAGCCACATTTTCATATTTTTACAATTTTTCTGCAGAATTTTGTGAGAACCCGTATTGCCCTAAGAATTTTCCTAGGGTTTTTCCCCTTTAATTGCTTGTTTTCTGCATTTTCTGGCTTAGAAAAATTTTCTTGGTGGATTTTATGAGTAATTATAGTTTTTCTAGTATTGGAGAGTTTTTAGAAAATTAAGAATATATTATGGACGTGGGACCCACTAGTGCGAAAAGTTCGGAAAAATTCGGTTAATAAGATTAAATTCCGGATACTGCGTAAAATTTATCGGGTGTTAAGAGATAAGTAGAGTGTGTGAAATGATTGATGTGAGAGAGAAAAGAAAGGATAGGAATGCATTAATGAAGTGCCACGTGTCACTTGGTGATTGGTTTTGACTTAAGAACACTATTCACTTTTTTTTGACTTTTGACCAAAATTGGTTAAATATCTAAAAATTTCACAAAAAATCACCATTTTCTTTCACCTTGTGGCCGGCCCTCTCTCTTGCCAAGAAGGAAGAAAACTTCTTCAATCTTCAAGCTTTCCACTAGCTCAAATCATCCAAATCAATCACACAAACTAGTTTCCACTCCATACAATCTTTCCATTTAGTGTTAGTGGTGAGTTTGGTGAAGTTTTTGGAAGAGCTAAGGTGGTCTACAACTTCTCTTCTCTTGTTTACTAGGTAAGTGATGATTGAACATCCTCTTATAGCTAATGATGCTTATTTTGTGCCTAATGGTGACTTGAGTGATGGAATGTGTGATTTATTTCTTGATTTGAAGTGATTTGGTGAAGTTTTTATTTTATTGAGGAATTTTCTGGTTTAATATGAATGTGATGTTGTGGCTATTTTTGATGATTGGCAATGGCTTATAATGACTCTAGTAGGTGTGAATTATTGATAATTGCAATCAATTTTGGGTTTGGATTGAAATGAGAAAAGTTAGGGTTGATAACCCCTAATTCTGTCCGGTTTTGGATCATAGGGTTAGAGGCCGAATTGGACTTTTCTCAAAACATGAAAGTTGTAGGTATTGATGAGTTTGAAGTGCCTACAAAATTTCAGGTCATTTGGAGTAGTGTAGAGTCAGATATGTCGTTTTTAATGTTGCTGTTCTGGGTGATAAGAATGTGCGAACTGCGATTATAATCGTCTGTTTTGACTGGAATTGGTTTGGATTTTGTTGTTGGTGTCTTCTGATGAAATGTATCTTGATGTCTTAGCTACCGTATTCCTTTGGAATCAATGCATTTGGACCTGTATAGACTGAGTTAGACTGATTACAGTTTTGTGTCATTTGGGAACCTGCAATTACGGTTCTGGCTTGGTTTTCTGCATTTTTTACCCAGTTGTGCTAGGATTTGGACTGAGTAGCCTTCTACATTGTTGTAGCCCTGTCTTTTAGCTTCGAGATGGTGGGTCTTACACCCTCATCCGATAAGCGTAGCGCATTTTGTGCCATTACCGCATTAGGAGGCCAAAACTGTTTTTGTTGTTGGGACAAATGAGTTCCATTTCCTGATTTTCTGGTTTGCTTATATGCTTATATATGCATAGGAAACCCTTTTGGGGTTGTTATTGGCATGGCTTTGTGACTCGTTATCGAGTCTTATGGTAATTGTTTACATGTTCTAGGGCGTGACGTTAGTGCACGACGTACTTTGGACGGCGGTGCATGAAACCTCACTTATTGAATTGGTGAGTATACTACTCACTTGAATGTTACAATGTGGCTTTGCTATATGTGATTGTGATGCCTTGAAGGCTTATTTGGCTATTGGAATTGATTGAGGTGAGGGTGTACTTGACCGCCCTCACCCCTTGTGATACCGTTAATGACTGATTACCGTTTTACTGAAATACTGCACTTGCTACATGAGATAATGAATTCCATTCATGGAAAACTGATTTGGTGTCGTTTGGACGAATATCCAACGGCCTTACTGTACTACTGAGCTCAACCCCGTAGGTAGTCAATTGAATCGAGCCGGCGAGGGCTTGGTCGTGAAAATTGACATGCCACAGGGACTGTACTGGGGAATCTTGTAGTAATGAGACTCTTGGTTCCGGTATACTCGAGTATTACCAAAAGCTACTGATTGGAGTGCGGGCCCGGTTGGGGTATGTTTGGTGGAAGGGATGGGAGTGAAGTGGGTTCTACGGTTGGTACTCATAAACGTTGACGGAGAGTCAATGAGATTGGATCAAGAATGTAAGCGTGGAAATGGGCTCTTGAGAGCCGTCCGTATCCTTTTGCCGACTGGTTTTATTTTTTTAAATTGTGTATTTGAAATGAAAGGTTGTGCTATATGCTCTTTGTTGCTTATGTGGTAGTAACTCACTGGGCTTAAGCTCATTCCGTTCCATTTGTTTTCCTTACAGGAAATGACCACTTTTGGAAAAGGTTGTGTTAGTTGGTTGTCAAGTTGAGCTCCTGTAAATGTTTTTTTGAATGAAACCCTAATGTGTATTGGGTTCATTTTTGATTGGCAAACCGAATTTTGTCTACCTATGATGAATAGTTTTTGACATGCCGATTTGGTTGTAAAGGTTGGATTGCTATGTATTAATGTTTGGTGGGATTCCGGATTCTACTATTCCAGGCACTATTCATCGTTTTCATTTTTCTTTTATTTTGTTATTTTGATACTTGTGGCTGGTCCGAGCGCGCTTTTACTATCCCGAAACGTATTAGATCGACGTGAACTGATCCGTAGTCCTGGCGAGAGCTGGGCAGGCAGTCCGCTAACCCCTTTGGTTCGCCTTAGGGGAAAGTGGGGCTGTTACAAATTTGCTAACTTTTCAAAAATTACACTTATTGCCCCAATTGCTCAAAATGCATCCTAAATCATTGTTTTATCAAAATAATCAATGCGCGCACATGTAAAATGGTCAAAATATACATTTTATCTCTTTCTAATGAATCAAAAACAATAATTGCTCCAATCAAGGGATTGAGTTCCTTGATCAAAATTCTCATTTTTCACCCCAAATAGTGATCTTTGCTTCTGTTTCCCCAAACCTACCATACAAAAACAACAAAATGACTCAACTACTTATTTTAAACATAAAATCACACCAAATTAACATATATAACAAAAATATTGGGTTGTCTCCCAATCAGCACTTTTGTTTATGGTCGTTGGCTCGACTAAAAAGAATTGACTCTTTAGGTTGAAGAAGAATCATCCAAAGAACAAATAAATCCCTTAGGGATGATTTCACCCGCCAAGTAGTGTTTTAATTTTTGTCTGTTGACTTTAAATCTTTCGTTTCTTGCATTAATTACTTCAATGGCTCTATAATGAAATATTTGAGTGATTTCAAATGGTCCCGACTATCTTGAATTGAGTTTTTTCGAAAACAATTTAAGGTGCGAGTTGTATAAAAGCACTTTTTGCTCCACCTCAAATTGTTTAGGAATAATATGTTTATCATACCAATATTTGATCTTATCCTTATAAATTTTGGCATTTTCATAAGTGTGTAGTCGGTGTTCCTCTAATTCGTTGAATTCAAGCAATCTTCTTCCACCTGCAAGATTGAAATTCAAGTTAATTGCTTTAATAGCCCAATATACCTTAGTTTAATTTTCATAGGTAAATGACAAATTTTTTTTGTACACTAAATGAAGGCGACATTCTCAAGGGTATCTTGAATACCGTCTGATACGTCCAAAGTGCATCATTGAGTTTTCTCACCCAGTTCTTTCGATATTTGTTCACTGTTTTCTTCAAGATATGTTTGATCTCCCGATTTGCTAATTCCGCTTATCCATTGGTTTGTGAATGGTATGGAAGTGATGTCTTGTACCTACAACCATACTTAACCAATAAGAAATCAAGTTGTTTATAATAGAAATATTTTTCTTCATCACTTACTATGGTTCTAGATATACCGAGTCTACTAAAAATGCTCTTTTTAAGAAATCAAAATACTACCTTAGTGTCATTAGTAGGTGAAATGATTGTCTCCACTTATTTAGAAACATAAGCCACAGGTACTAAGATGTGACGCCCCCACTTCTCCCAAGGGTGAACCCAAGGGTATCGGCGGGATGCTTGCCTAGCTCTTGCCAGGACTCGATACCATTCTAGTTCAAACTTAAAAGTAAACTATTCGATAATAAAAGTCAAACTGAAAGAAGTCGCTTCCATACACAAGTGTTCAATCTTACATTACAAGTTTTCAAAACACATCAACTTTCCAAAATATACAACTTCCAAAAGTCGTCTAATTAACACATCCAAAACCCTAATCAGAAGGCCAAAAAGTCGGCTTCTCCATAGCGCCTTCCATTTCGGCTCCTATTAAGGAAAACAAATCTAATGGAATGAGCTAATGCACAGTGAGGCCAAGAAAAGCATGCAAAACACATAGTTCAAATGACAATAGCATTGATACGAGAATTTAAAGCTATAACATTCAAATAGTTCGCAATTAACAATAAAACACACTTGATAAGGATAGGGAGCTCTCAGGAGCTATATTCCACTTGTTCTGCCAATGCTCGATTCAGTACCTCTACGAGTTGACACTCCGTCAACCGGATAGGTTATAAGTCCCTAAAACACCATTTACTTCGCACTCCTGATCACCGTTACACCTCCTGCTCCGGGCCCGCACTTCTTTTATATAAGGCGATACTATTCGAGTATGCCAAGCGAGATCTCTCAATTAGATCAAACTTATACACTTTTTTTTTCTCATGGCTCACCAAGCTTCACGACCAAACCCATGCCGGCTCAAGTCGCAAGGTTGACCTATGAGTTTGGGCGTCCCCCACTATTATCACTATAAGTCGAGGAGATTCACTCCAAACGACGTTGATTCAAACATAGAATAGTTCACTATTGCAACACTTCACTTTATTCACTTAACAATTCACTTCATGCAATTCAAATACACTTCACCTAAACGAGAACGAGTGCGATAAAGTACACACTCGACTCAACACTTTCCAAAATACTCAATTAATGAGAACAATTAAGCACGTAACAACACTTCATACACTTGACACTCACCAAGTCAAAACAAAAGAGAGTGAGCGAGCAATTAAAGTTTTAGGCGTCCGCTTCGAGATTCTCTTGTAGATCCCCTTGAGCGCCTGAATAAATAACAAGTACTTGCACTCACAACCATGTATTGACCAAGACAGAAGGTACACTTATTTAGACTAAGTCAATGTCTCAAAAGATAACTTTAACCACTCAAAAATTGAGGTTCAAAAGTGAGGATTTAATAACACAACAGTAAATGATTTCCTCCATGAAATCGAGTTTAAAACGATCACTCAATATCAAAGGATAGGGAAAAATTTCCAAAAAACTCATTTCCCAACAAGTTGGAAAATTTCAGTTTTGTGCGTCAAATCTAGAAAAATCAGATCTTTCACTCAGTAGGTCCAAAAATGAAAAATTTATACTGTTGGAATCTTGGTTCGGAGTACTAAAATTTCGTAGAAGACACTTTTCCAAGATTCTAAAGGAAAAGCATTCATTTTTCAGCTCAAAGTTTCAGTTCCAATAGGAAAGGTTTGAACCAGTCTTGGTTTTGCAGTCATCTTTGGAAATTCGGCGTAATTCACAGAAAGTGAATCAACCCTTGAAATTTGTAACACAATAAGAGCTCCAAACAAGGTTTTAAACAAGACAAATGGAACTAAATTTGGAGTTTTGAACATCAAGATATAACAGTCTAAAGTCAGCTGAATTTGTACACTATACAGAAATTTTCCAGATTTGAAGAGCCAATTTTGGGGTGTTATTTGGGTATTGAAATGGTATTGAATTTCCACCAAATTTGGTACACTTAAACTTTCATATATCTCTCTATCAAATTTCACATAAAAACTTACTTGGGAATGCAGTTAACAAAATGACCAAAATTTGGGAAAAATTCCAAAGCTAATCTGCCCTCTTGCCTTTCTTTCTTTTCCAAACGTTTTGCACAATGAAATCAATCCCAATTCGATCCATTTTTTGAAACCAAGGTTCCATAAACATTTGATGAGTAATTTATGGGTAATTTATGTCAAAATTTTCGAAATAAAACATCCCAAAACAAGTTTGACCATTCGGCCAACAAGAAAAGAAAACTGTCCAGTTTTCCAGCTTGGTCGCACTTTAGAAATCAGGCCACATCTCACTCAATGCAAGTTTAAATTGGGAATGGTTGGTGGCGTTGGAAACTAGGTTCAAAATACTACATTTCATCAGAAGGGATCATTTTCAAAATCAGTTCACAAGTGAGAGAAAATAGAGCCACAAAATGTAGCTTCTCCATTCCTCTCGGACAGACAATCAGAACAAGACAGTCAATTTTGTTGAATCACTATGGTTCACTCAATTCGAACTAGCAAGTGAATTTTATACCGTTAGAAATCTATGAATTTATAGTTTTGAATGCCATTAACAGCACTCAATTTCAATTTTTGTACAAAGATATATGTTCGAACAAAGAGGTACTGTTTGGCTGCCCAGATTACCATTTCCAGATTTTTTTCTTTTTCGAAAACTCTAGTTTTGAGCAACCAATTGAAACGATTTTCGTAAGACACTTTGTACACATAATATACAACATATATCACTCAATTTCACAGCCAAACAACCATCAAAAATTTGAAATACCAGCAAGATAAAAGCAGGACAGATTCGGCCAGCTTGCACTTCCATTTTCCTTCGATTTTTCCTTCACTTTCTAACCGTATTCATCTCAAATAACACATAAACAACTACAATCAACTAATTACCCCTCAATTCAGCTACCTATAATCCATCTTAAGGCAACTAACTTAAATATTAAAGCAAGAAATGAAACACCTCAAGTCCGCTAGCCTATTTCATGCTTAGGGTTTCAAACCCATGCCATCTAAGCTTCATACTTGAAGAATTTAGAAAGATTTGAGGGAGGTGAAGGGTTACCTCTTAATTCTTTATGAAACCAGAAATTTTCACCACAAAAACCTCCAAGAATTTCCACTAGATGTTGTCTTCCTCCAAGTTAAAGTTGATCTCTAAGTAGTTTTGAAGTTGGGTGCATATTTGGAAGTGAAACGGAAGCAAGAATTGAGCAAGTGAAATGGAACTTTTTCTTCTCTTATTTTCTTCTAGTTTCGGCCAACTCCAAGGAGAGAGAAGAGAGAAGGGTTTGTTGTGTGAAGCTTCTCTTGGAAGCTTTAAGAATTTGTGGCCAAAAGCTATATAAAAGTCAACTACGAATAGTGCGCGTATAGTGTCCCGTACTACCATTTTTCTCTCTTGTTTGTTTTACTAGTGCACTAATCCTCAAATGTAATTCCTTTAACACTATAATTATTCACTCTTAGTAGTCTAATATAAGTTTCTTAAATCTCCACTTAGTCGATTCGATGCGAAATACGCGAACTTCTGATTCGCGCGCGATAAGGCAAAATTTAAAAACGATTCATATAACGATAATATATTTAACTAATACTAGGGTTAATAATTATAAAAAATCATTATTTTAAGAATAAAACATGAGTCCTCACATCCTCTCCCCCTTAAGAGAATTTCGTCCACGAGATTCATACCTTGATTTGGAAATAGATCTGGATATTTTTCTCGAATTTCTTCTTCTACTTCCCAAGTTGTTTCCTCTAATCCGTGGTTTCTCCAAAGAACTTTCACCAACGGGATTCGCTTATTCCTTACCTCTTTCAGCTTACAATTTAGAAGCTTTATCGGTTTCTCCTCATAGATCAGTGCTTTGTCAATCTCAATATTCTCCGGTTGTAGAACATGAGACGAATCTGGATGATATTTCTTGAGCATCGATACGTGAAAAATATTGTGAATCCGAGATAAACTTGGCAGCAATTCCAACTTATATGCCACATTTCCCACACGTTGAAGAATCTTATAAGGCCCTACGAATCTAGGTTGTAACTTCTTTCCTTTTCCTGCCATCAGGCTCGCTTTCAGAGGAGTGATCTTAAGGAAAACTTGGTCTCCAACCGCAAATTCTAAATCCTTCCTCCGATTGTCTGTATAGCTCTTCTGACGACTCTGTGTGATTTGAATTCTCTGATGTATTAACTTTACTTTCTCTCGTGCCTCCTCAATCCAAGGCACTGCAGCGGGGTCTATGATCTTTTGTTCACCTACTTCATCCCAACGAATTGGAGATCTACACTTATGGCCATAAAGTGCTTCATATGGAGCCATTTGAATGGATGAATGGAAACTATTATTATAAGCAAATTCCACCAATGTCAAATACTTACTCCAACTCTCTCCAAAATCCAAAATACAGGTTCTCAACATGTCCTCGAGAGTCTGAATCGTCCTCTCAGACTGTCTATCAGTCTGAGGATGGTAAGTAGTGCTAAAATTCAATTTAGTCCCCAACACTTCTTGCATCTTTTGCCAGAACCGCGAGACAAACCTAGGATCTCGATCGGATACAATACTTACAGGTATCCCGTGTAGTCTTATAATCTCATCCAAATATAACTTAACTAACTTTTCCAACTGGTACTTCATACTAATTGGTAGAAAAAGAGCCGATTTGGTCAATCTATCCACTATTACCCAAATGGCATTGTGACCTCTTTGTGTCCTAGGTAATCCAGATACAAAATCCATAGTGATATTTTCCCACTTCCACTCGGGTATTTCTAAGGGTTGCAAAAGACTAGATGGTTTTTAATGCTCGGTTTTAACTTGCTGGTAGATTAAACAAGTCTGGACAAATCGGGCAATTTCCTTTTTCATGTTCTCCCACCAGTACAATGTCTTCAAGTCTTGGTACATTTTATTCCCTCCAGGATATACAGTGTACTTAGAACGGTGCGCTTCTTCCAAGATTTCCTTCTTAAACCCTTCGTCCTTTGGCACTACTATACGATTCTAAAACCTTAGTACACCATTCATTCCCAAATTAAAGTCTGACTTTTCTCCTTTATTAACTTTTTTTAACCACTTTTGCACTTCAATGTCGTTCTCCTGAGCTTCCTTGATATGTTCCAATAAAGTGGATTTCACGACAATATTCCCAAGGATCACTTTTCTAAGCTCGAAACGAGGATTCCAACAACTAACCTCCTCTAACAAGTGCAATTCTTTAATCATCAATCCCACTACTTGCACTTGACGACTTAAAGTATCAGTCACTACATTAGCTTTCCCTAGATGATACTTTATCGTGCAATCATAATCCTCCAAAAATTTCATCCATCTATGTTGTCTCAAATTCAGCTCTTTTTGAGAAAATAAATACTTAAGGCTCTTGTGATCCGTGAAAGTCTCAAATGTCACTCCATACAGGTAATGCCTCCACTTCTTTAATGCAAACACTACAGCTGCTAACTCCAAATCGTGAGTTGGGTTGTTTCTTTCGTGAGGTTTTAACTTCCTAGAAGCATACGCTATAACTTTACCATTTTGCATCAACACATATCCCAAGCCTTCTTTAGAAGCATCTGTATATACACAAAGCTATCCATTCCATTAGACAAAGCTAATACAGGTGCCCTCGTTAATCATCTCTTTAACTCTTGAAAACTTTCTTCACACTTAGGGCTCCATATAAATTTCCCACTCTTCTTAGTCAACTCAGTCATGGGTCCAGCAATCTTAGAAAAATCCTTGATAAACCTCCGATAATACCCTGCTAACCCTATAAAACTCTGAATTTCAGTAGGATTTTCTGGTTGCTTCCACTTAGAAACCACTTCAACTTTGGATGGATCTACCTTAATTCCGTCCTTGGAAATTATATGACCTAAAAATGTTACTTCTTTCAACCAAAACTCATATTTGTTAAACTTAGCATACAACTGATGTTCCCTCAAAGTTTGTAAAACAATTCTCAAATGTTTCTCATGGTCCTCCAGAGTTTGAGAATACACCAGTATATCGTCAATGAACACTACCACAAATTGATCTAGGTACGGCTTAAAGATCCTATGCATCAAATCCATAAAAGCCGCAGGTGCATTAGTTAATTCAAATGGCATTACTGCGAACTCGTAATGTCCGTACCTCGAGTTAAAGGCAGTTTTTGGTAAATTTTTTTCCAAAATCCTCAACTGATAATATCCCTGCCTGAGGTCCAATTTCGAGAATACTACCGTCCCTTGCAATTGGTCAAATAACTCATCTATGTGGGGCAAATGGTACTTATTCTTAATAGTAACATCGTTCAAGTCTCGGTAGTCTATACACAGTCTTAAACTTCCATCTTTCTTTTTAACGAATAATACCGGGATTCCCCACAGTGAATCACTTTCCTCTATAAAACGTCGCCCTAGCAAATCCTGCAATTGTAATTTCAACTCCTTCAATTCAGTTGGAGCCATTCTATATGGTGTCTTAGAGATAGGTGCTACCCCTGGAGTCACATCAATCTTAAAAGCTATTTCCCTTTCTGGAGGTAAAGACTCTAATTCTTTCGAAAAAATATCCGGATACTCCTTTACTACGGGCATGTCTTCCAATCTCACTTTATCACTAGGAGTATTTATAAGAAAAGACAAATATGCCTGGGCTCCCTTACTCAACATCTGTCTATCTAAAATTCCTAAAATAAGAGTAGATGAGGCTAATCTACCCCGCACATCCAATTTTAGAGTTGCCTCTCTTGGAATGCACAATTCTACCGTTTTCGTCTCACAATTCAACTGAGTATGGTAGTGAGCTAACCAGTCCATTTCTAAGATGATATCATACCCCTTAATAGTTAAACTCATCAAATCGGCTAGCAACTTCTGTTCTCCAAGCCATATCTCCCAATCTCTGTACACCAAATTAGCAATTAAACTTTGATCCCCAGTAAGTGTTCTAACCTCCAAATCATAAGGTAACTTAATTGGTTTCACATCTATTCCACTCATAAAATTAGGGTTCATAAAAGAATGTGTCGCACCTGGATCAATTAAAACCTTAGCTAAACGGGGAAAAATAGGGATCGTACCTTCGACCACCTCAGTAGAATCGGGAACTTGTTGATGATCCAGTGGATAAACCCTAGCTGGCACTTTAGGTCGACTTTCTCCAGAACTAGTCTGCTTAGATGCTGATTTCTCTGGCCGTTGAGTACTACCTCTTGCTTTTGGCGCAATCGGACAACTTGCGAGTTGGTGCTTGGAACTACCGCAGTACAAGCACTTTCCCGATTTCCTCCAACAATCATTCTCCGAGTGATTTAACTTGCCACAGTAGCCACAACTAACTTGAGGAATTACAATCGAACCACTAGAAGGTATTCCTCTCGATTGACCTTGCCCACTACGACCTCCTATTGATAAATCCCCTCTTGGAACTCTAGCGGTCCTTATTCCTCTCATTCCTCTTCTCATCTTGAGAGGTGGGGCACTTTTACTAGCCTGTCCCGAAGAGTAACTAGGAAAGTTCCTTTTCTTAGTATGAAAATCCCTAACTTGCAATCTTGCACTTTCAACCCTTTGCGCTTTCTCCAGGGTTTCAGTAAACGTAGACATTTGGGTTGTTGCCGATCTCTCTTGAATCTCCACAGTAATCTCTTGCACAAAACGTCTAATCCTTTTTTACTCATTAACCACTAACTCTAGAGCGTACTTAGAAAGGTTAGTGAATTTACCCTCATACTCAGCCACGCAAAGAGTTCTCTGTCTCAACTTTATAAATTCATCCTCCCGCTTCTCTTGAATTAGAGACGGAAGAAACTTCTCATTAAACTCTCTCGTGAAGTTTTTCCAAATCCAAGGGGTCTGCGCTCTTTCCCACTTTCTTCTTATCACGTCCCACCAAGCACGTACAACGCCCTCAAACTGAAAGGCAGCAAAACTCACTCGCATCTCTTCAGTATAGTCTAAGCCGATAAAAATATTAGTCATTCGCTCCAGCCAGTTCTCCGCTAACTCGGGATCAGGTCCTCCAATGAATTTAGGCGGATTAAATTTCAGAAACCTCTCTAAGGTTCTATCTTCCCCTCTATCCTGGGTTCCGGGTTGGTTAAATGGCCCTGGACCCTGTCGCTCTGCTAATTGTTCTAGGATATCAGTCATCCGATTAATGGCAGTAGCCACTTGGTTACCCTCTACATTTTCTTGTCCCTGGGTCGGTCCAGTTGCCGATGCCTGATCATCCCCTTGAGATTGGGTTTGCCTAGTCCCACGCCCACAACCTTTACTACTCCTTCGTCCTTCCATGACCCTAGTTATGCCCAATGCAAAAAGTAAAATAATTACGCGAGAAAATACTTAAAATAAAAGCCAACATGAAAACATTGAAAATAACAATAATTAACATGTTAATATTAACACTTTAAAGTTCATACAATTAGCAAGTCATGGGGCATTTACAAAAATATGGCATACAAGTGCAACAAAAGTGTAATTAGTCATCCACGTCAAAAGTAGATTTAGGTGTCTCAAAAGTAGGCCACACAGTCAAGCAAAATACAATGGCCTTTGAATTAGCTCCACCCCAGCTAATTCTAACTGCACAAGTCAAAAGATCTATCACTCTAAGTCTAATGCTCAGCAGGACTATCAGGCAGAACCTCCTCCTCCGGATCCTCCTCGGAAGGCTCCTCCTGAACTGGATTCTGCACCACCTCCATGACCTCATCAATCAACATAGTAGCGTCTGCCAAGATCCCAGAAGCCCGATCCCGGACCTCCTCGCCTATCCTGGTAAGTCGAGCTCTAGCTCTCTGAAGCTCAGCACGAGCGGCCTTAGCCCTAGCCATCTCGTCCACTATAGTCCTCTCTAGCTCTGTAATCCTATCACCCTGAGCGTTCACCATAAGGCTCAGCTCCTCGACCTCCTGAAGTAAAGATTGGTTGGTATTCACAAACTGACTACGCTCGTCGTTAAGGGACAGTACTAGGTCATTAGAGTATGCATATGTCGCCCTACAGGGACATCGGAGAAACCTAGTAGAAAGCGAATAACACTCCACCAAGTGCTCGATAGTAAATCGGCCTAAGAGGCTCCACGTGGCCATTAGCAGCGTGTCCTCCATTTCCATTCTCCATCCCTACAAAACAACCACAATTTTCAGGTTAAAAATTTAAAGTCACTAACTCGCTCAAACATTACTTAAAGTCTTACCTAGTTATCTCATTCCTATTCCCGAGGGTAAAGTCTCTAATATATCTCCCAAATAGATCTCTAATCTAGTGCTCTGATACCAACTGTAACACCCCCACTTCTCCCAAGGGCGAACTCAAGGGTATCCGCGGGACGCCTGTCTAGCTCTTGCCAGGACTCGATACTATTCTAGTTCAAATTTAAAAGTAAACTATTCGATAATAAAAGTCGAACTGAAAGAAGTCACTTCCATACACAGGTGTTCAATCTTACATTACAAGTTTTCAAAACACATCAACTTTCCAAAATGTATAACTTCCAAAAGTCATCTAATTAATACATCCAAAACCCTAATTAGAAGGCCATCAAGTCGGCTTCTCCATAATGCCTTCCATTTCGGCTCCTGTTAAGGAAAACAAATCTAATGGAATGAGTTAATGCTCAGTGAGGCCAAGAAAAGCATGCAAAAGACATAGTTCAAATAATAATAGCACTGATACGAGAATTTAAAGCTATATCATTCAAGTAGTTCACAATTAACAATAAAACACACTTGATAAGGATACGGGAGCTCTCAGGAGCTATATTCCACTTGTTCTGCCAAAGCTCGATTCAGTACCTCAACGAGTTGACACTCCGTCAATCGGATAGGTTATAAGTCCCTAAAACCCCATTTACTTCGTACTCCCGATCACCGTTACACCCCCTGCTCCGGGCCCGCACTTCTTTTATATAAGGCGATACTATTCGAGTATGCCAAATGAGATCCCTCAATTAGATCAAACTTATACACTTTTTTTTTCTCATGGCTCATCAAGCTTCACGACCAAGCCCATGCCGGCTCGAGTCGCAATGTAACAGCCCCACTTTCCCCTAAGGCGAACCAAAGGGGTTAGCGGACTGCCTGTCCAGCTCTCGCCAGGACTACGGATCAGTTCACGTCGATCTAATACGTTCCGGAACATACCCACGCGCGTAAACAAGTCAAAATCTCAAAATAAAAAAAAACGAAAATTGAAACCGATGATGAACAGTACCGGCCATGTCCGAATCCGGATACTAGGCCGAGAGTAGCCAAATTTTTCTTTTGCCGTTTGAAATACAAGTTAATCCGAAACCCAACCAAATGTCAACCAAACATATATACAGTGAAATGTAACATTTACAAGCCAAAAGCCAAAGCGGCATATCAAAACGATTCATCATGGATATACATGATCGGTTTGCCAACCAAAAGAAATTGAACCCAATACACATTAGGGTTTCATGCAAGGAGCTAGTCAAAATAAACATATACATGGCTCAATTTGGCAACCAACAAGTATGAGCTTCCAAAAGTGATTATTTTCCTGTAAGGAAAACAAATGGAATGGTGTGAGCTAAAGCTCAGTGAGCAACTATCACACAATCAACCAAGATCACTTAAGCATAATCGTTCATTGCAAATATTCAAATAAGAAGCAAAACAAATCGGTAAAAGGATACGGACGGCTCTCAAGAGCCCATTTCCACGCTTACATTCTTGATCGAACTTCATTGACCCTCCGTCAATGTTAAAAGTACCAAACCGTAGACCTCACTTCACTTCCATTCCTTCCACCCAACATACCCAACCGGGCCCGCACTCCAAGCAGTAACTTTAGGTGATACTCGAGTACACCGGAACCAAGGGTCTCATTACCACAAGATTCTCATTTCAGTCCCCGTGGCTAGTCAATTTTCACGACCAAGCCCTCGCTGGCTCGATTCGAGTGACTCCCAACGGGGTTGAGCTCAGTAGTACAGTAGGATCGTTGGATACTCGTCCAACTGACACCCAAACAATATCAGTACAGTCATTCATAAAGCAGTACAGTAAGACAGTGAAACAGTACACAGTCGTTCACAAGCATAAAAGGAATGAGGGCGGTCAAGTACACCCTCACCCTAATCATTTCCAATAGCCAAACAAGCCTTCAAGGCATCACAATCACATATAGCAAAGCCATTTTATAAATCCAAGTGAGTAGTATACTCACCAAGTAAGCAAGTGAGGTTTCATGCACCGTCGTCCCTAGTACGTCGTGCACTAACGTCACGCCCTAGAATATGTAAACAAATACCATAAGACTCGATAACGAGTCATAAATCCAAGCCAAACACAACCCCAATAGGGTTTCATATGCATATATAGGTATATAAGCAAACCAGAAAATCAAGACATGGAACTCATTTGTCCCAACAACAAAAACAGTTTTTGGCCTCCAAATGCGGTAATGGCACAAAATGCGCTACGGTTATTGGATGAGGGCGTAAGACCCACCATCTCGAAGCTCAAAGATAGGGCTACAACAATGTAGAAGGCCTCTCAGTCCAAATCCTAGCACAACTAGGTCAAAAATGCAGAAAACCAACCCAGAACCGTAATTGCAGGTTCACAAATCACACAAAACTGTAATCAGTCCAAGTCAGTCTATACAGGTCCAAATGCATTGATTCCAAAGGAATATGAAATCTAAGACATCAAGCTACATTTCATCAGAAGACACCAACAACAAAATCCAAACCAATTCCAGTCAAAACAGACAGTTACTATCGCAGTTCGCACATTCTGTTCACCAAAAACAGCAACAGTAAAAATGGCATAACTCACTCTATACTACTCGAAATGCCCTGAAATTTTGCAGGCACTACAAAATCATCAATACCTACAACTTTCATGTTTTGAGAAAAGTCCAATTCGGCTTTTATCTATGACCTAAAATTTCGGACAGATTAGGGGTTCATGAACCCTAACTTTTCACATTTCAATCCAAACTCAAAATTGGTTGCAATTTCCTATCATATGCACCTACTAGAGCCAAAGCCCCTTATTACCAACCATCAAAAACAACCACACCATCATGATCATATGAAACCAGAAAATTCCCAAAAAAAATAAAAACTCAACCAAATCACTTCAAACCAAGAAATAAACCACAATTTCTAACACCATAGCCACCATTAGGCATAAATTCAACATCATTAGATATAGGAGGGTGTTCATATACCACTTACCAAGTAACCAAGAGAGAGGAAGATGTTGGACACCTTAAGTCTTCAAACAAACTTCACTAAACTACTTACTAGCACCCAAGGGAGGAATTTTATGGAGTAGAATCTAATTTAAGCAAGTAGTTTGGATGATTTGAGCTAGGAATTTGCCAAGATGTTGAAGAGTTTTGTCTTTCTTCTTGCTAGAGAGGTTCGGCCATCAAGGGGTGAAAAATGGTAAGTTTTTTGTGAATTTTGAAGATATTTAATCCATAAGTCAAAAGGTCAAAACCATGAATAGTAAATCATAAAGTCCACCCAATAGAAAAATGACACATGGCATCTCATTAAATGCAATTCAATCCTTTCTTTTCTCTCTCACATCAATCACCTCACACTCCTTTACTTATCCATTAACACCCGATAAATTTCACAGTATCCGAAACTTAATCTTATTGGCCGAATTTTTCCGACTTTTCACACTAGTGTCCCACGTCCATATTCGATCCGTAATTTCTCAAAAACTACCCAATGCTAGAAAAATCATCTAAAAACTATAATTACTCATAAAATCCACCAAGAAAATATTCCTAGGCCAGAAAATGCAGAAAACATGCAATTAAAGGGGAAAACCCTAGGAAAAATATTAGGGAATTTACGGGTTCTCACACGCAAGGTCGGTCTATGAGTTTGGGGATCCCCCACTATTATCACTATAAATCGAGGAGATTCACTCCAAACGACGTTGATTCAAACATAGAATAGTTCACTATTGCAACACTTCACTTTATTCACTTAACAATTCACTTCATGCAATTCAAATACACTTCACCTAAACGAGAACGAGTGCGATAAAGTACACACTCGACTCGACACTTTCCAAAATACTCAATTAATGAGAACAATTAAGCACGTAACAACACTTCATACACTTGACACTCACCAAGTCAAAACAAAA